CAGATTGGGTTTAATTCTTGGACTCTTCATGTCAGGCGCTCCAGGAGCTTTTGTTCCCAGCAACATTTGTACTGTGGCAGCAAAGGCCTTCATCCAAAAGTGGGAACCAAAATTTGGGACTCAGCCACCCCAGAGTACAGGGCACTGCCTTCTCAGAAGGATATTACTTGGAACCTGCACATTTTCTAGGGAACCAGTTTATTGCAATAGGGAGTTCAGGGTATCTGCCCTTTTGCAGGCAGCTCAGCCCACGGAGGAGTGCTTGGACTGGAGGGGTAGGTGGGTAACCTGGAAAATAAAGCAGTACAGCAAAGTGCTAGGTCTCTCATCTTTCTTCTTTTCTTGGTGTCTGAGCCATCCCCTTGGGTGTTGTGAGACTATCATCATCCCTGCTCTACAGCTGGGGAAACTGAGGCACGGAAAAGCACAGTGCAGTCACATCCCACACCTCACTCTGCCTGGGCTGAAACCTTCTGACATTCCCATGTGGTGCCAAGGGCTGCCCCGAGCACAGGGAAGATTTAGCAACCTCACTGAAGTCAAACCCTTCTGTCCTCAAATCCTTTCCAACCCCATCAGGCAAACAGCACAACGGGGCACCGCAGAGAGCTGGGGAGGGAGGTGAAATATTTCTTGCTTCATCCTGCTTCTGTTGCTGCTTCCTTGTTCTTTCTTTCATCTGTTCCTCCAAAAGAAAGGAGTACACTTGCAGGGTTTGTTTTGGTCTGTGTTTATGGCTGAATGCTACCACTAATTGTAAATGGAGCAATTAGACCTTTTCTTTATACAGTCTCCATTGGGGTCTGGCAAAGGATCTGACGAACCCTGTACCTGCACTCAAAAAACATACACCAAGGGCAGAGCTTTTACAGCCTTCTCATTTACCATCATCTCCACACTCATTCAGGAGGGGCAATTGTGTGAGTGTGTGTGTCCTTCCAGCTGCAAAGGATTTAGTTATATACCTGTGTGGCTCACTTAAGTGCACCTGGAACGGGGCTC